CTGTTCCAATGAACATTACGACTGATATCACCACTACTGTCCCAATCAACACCACGACTGCTACCACCACTGCTGTCCCAATCAACACCACGACTGCTACCACCACTGATGTTCCAATAAACATTACGACTGCCATCACCACTGCTGTGCCGATCAACATTACGACTGATATCACCACTGTTGTTCCAATCAACACCACGACTGCTTTCTCTACTGCTATACCAATCAACACCACGGCTGCTACCACCACTGCTGTTCCAATCAACATTACGACTGATATCACCACTGCTTTCCCAGTCAACACCACGGCTGCTACCACCACTGCTGTTCCAATCAACATTACGACTGATATCACCACTGCTGTCCCAATCAACACTACCATTGAGATCACCACTGCTGATCTAATCAACATTACGACTGATATCACCACTGCTGTCCCAATCAACACCACGACTGCTACCACCACTGCTGTTCCAATCAACATTACGACTGATATCACCACTGCTGTCCCAATCATCACCACGACTGCTACCACCACTGATGTTCCAATCAACATTACGACTGCTATCACCACTGCTGTCCCAATAAACACCACGACTGCTACCACCACTACTGTTCCAATCAACATTACGACTGCTATCACCACTGCTGTGCCAATCATCACCACGACTGCTACCACCACTGCTGTTCCAATCAATATTACGACTGATATCACCACTGCTGTCCCAATCAACACTACGACTGCTATCACTATTGCTGTTCCAATCAACATTACGACTGATATCACCACTGCTGTCCCAATCTTCACCACGACTGAAATCACCACTGCTGTGCCGATCAGCACCACAACTGCTATCACCACTGCTGTTCCAATCAACACCACGACTGCTATCACCACTGATGCCCCAATCAACATTACGATTGATATCACCACTGCTGATCCAATCAACATTACGACTGATATCACCACTGCTGTCCCAATCAACACCACGACTGCTACCACCACTGCTGTTCCAATCAACATTACGACTGCTATCACCACTGCTGTCCCAATCATCACCACGACTGCTACCACCACTGATGTTCCAATCAACATTACGACTGCTATCACCACTGCTGTCCCAATCAACACCACGACTGCTACCACCACTGGTGTTCCAATCAACATTACGACTGATATCACCACTGCTGTCCCAATCAAAACCACGACTGCTACCACCACTGCCGTCCCAATCAACACCACGACTGCTACCACCACTGATGTTCCAATCAACATTACGACTGCTATCACCACTGCTGTCCCAATCATCACCACGACTGCTACCACCACTGCTGTTCCAATCAATATTACGACTGATATCACCACTGCTGTCCCAATCAACACTACGACTGCTATCACTATTGCTGTTCCAATCAAAATTACGACTGATATCACCACTGATGCCCCAATCAACATTACGACTGCTATCACCACTGCTGTCCCAATCAACACAACGATTGATATCACCACTGCTGTTCCAATCAACAGTACGACTGCGATCACCACTGATGCCCCAATCAACATTACGACTGCAATCACCACTGCTGTTCCAATCTTCACCACGACTGCTATCACCACTGCTGTTCCAATCAACATTACGACTGATATCACTACTGCTGTTCCAATCAACACTACGACTGCTTTCACCACTGCTGTCCCAATCATCACCACGACTGCTACCACCACTGCTGTCCCAATCAACATTACGACTGCTATCACAACTGCTGTCCCAATCATCACCACGACTGCTACCACCACTGCTGTCCCAATCAACATTACGACTGCTATCACAACTGCTGTCCCAATCATCACCACGACTGCTACCACCACTGCTGTTCCAATCAACATTACGACTGCTATCACCACTGCTGTCCCAATCATCACCACGACTGCTACCACTTCTGATGTTCCAATCAACATTACGACTGCTATCACAACTGCTGTCCCAATCAACACCACGACTGCTACCACCACTGCTGTTCCAATCAACATTACGACTGATATCACCACTGCTGTCCCAATCAACACCACGACTGCTACCACCACTGCTGTCCCAATCAACACCACGACTGCTACCACCACTGATGTTCCAATAAACATTACGACTGCCATCACCACTGCTGTGCCGATCAACATTACGACTGATATCACCACTGTTGTTCCAATCAACACCACGACTGCTTTCTCCACTGCTTTCCCAATCAACACCACGGCTGCTACCACCACTGCTGTTCCAATCAACAATACGACTGATATCACCACTGCTGTCCCAATCAACACTACCATTGATATCACCACTGCTGATCTAATCAACATTACGACTGATATCACCACTGCTGTCCCAATCAACACCACGACTGCTACCACCACTGCTGTTCCAATCAACATTACGACTGATATCACCACTGCTGTCCCAATCATCACCACGACTGCTACCACCACTGCTGTTCCAATCAACATTAGGACTGATATCACCACTGCTGTCCCAATCAACACTACCATTGATATCACCACTGCTGATCTAATCAAAATTACGACTGATATCACCACTGCTGTCCCAATCAACACCACGACTGCTACCACCACTGCTGTTCCAATCAACATTACGACTGATATCACCACTGCTGTCCCAATCATCACCACGACTGCTACCACCACTGATGTTCCAATCAACATTACGACTGCTATCACCACTGCTGTCCCAATAAACACCACGACTGCTACCACCACTACTGTTCCAATCAACATTACGACTGCTATCACCACTGCTGTCCCAATCATCACCACGACTGCTACCACCACTGCTGTTCCAATCAATATTACGACTGATATCACCACTGCTGTCCCAATCAACACTACGACTGCTATCACTATTGCTGTTCCAATCAACATTACGACTGATATCACCACTGCTGTCTCAATCTTCACCACGACTGAAATCACCACTGCTGTGCCGATCTGCACCACAACTGCTATCACCACTGCTGTTCCAATCAACACCACGACTGCTATCACCACTGATGCCCCAATCAACATTACGATTGATATCACCACTGCTGATCCAATCAACATTACGACTGAAATCACCACTGCTGTCCCAATCAACACCACGACTGCTACCACCACTGCTGTTCCAATCAACATTACGACTGCTATCACCACTGCTGTCCCAATCATCACCACGACTGCTACCACCACTGATGTTCCAATCAACATTACGACTGCTATCACCACTGCTGTCCCAATCAACACCACGACTGCTACCACCACTGCTGTCCCAATCAACACTACGACTGCTATCACTATTGCTGTTCCAATCAACATTACGACTGATATCACCACTGATGCCCCAATCAACATTACGACTGCTATCACCACTGCTGTCCCAATCAACACTACGATTGATATCACCACTGCTGTTCCAATCAACATTACGACTGATATCACCACTGATGCCCCAATCAACATTACGACTGCTATCACCACTGCTGTCCCAATCAACACTACGATTGATATCACCACTGCTGTTCCAATCAACATTACGACTGCGATCACCACTGATGCCCCAATCAACATTACGACTGCAATCACCACTGCTGTCCCAATCTGCACCACGACTGCTATCACTACTGCTGTTCCAATCAACACTACGACTGCTTTCACCACTGCTGTCCCAATCATCACCACGACTGCTACCACTGCTGTCCCAATCAACATTACGACTGCTATCACAACTGCTGTCCCAATCATCACCACGACTGCTACCACCACTGCTGTCCCAATCAACATTACGACTGCTATCACAACTGCTGTCCCAATCATCACCACGACTGCTATCACCACTGATGTTCCAATCAACACCACAACTGCTATCACCACTGCTGTTCCAATCAACATTACAACTGCTATCACCACTGCTGTCCCAATCAACACTACGACTGCAATCACCACTGCTGCCCCAATCAACACCACGACTGCTATCACCACTGCTGTCCCAATCAACACCACAACTGCTATCACCACTACTGTTCCAATCAACATTACAACTGCTATCACCACTGCTGTCCCAATCATCACCACAACTGCTATCATCACTGCTGTCCCAATCATCACCACGACTGCTATCACCACTGCTGTCCCAATCATCACCACGACTGCTATCACCACTGCTGTCCCAATCATCACCACGACTGCTACCACCACTGCTCCCCCAATCAATACCACAACTGCTATCACCACTGCTGTTCCAATCAACATTACAACTGCTATCACCACTGCTGTTCCAATCAATACCTCGACTGCTATCACCACTGCTGTCCCAATCATCACCACCACTGCTACTACCACTGCTCCCCCAATCAACACCACAACTGCTATCACCACTGCTGTTCCAATCAACATTACAACTGCTATCACCACTTCTGTTCCAATCAACACCACGACTGCTATCACCACTGTTGTCCCAATGATCACTACGACTGCTCTCACCACTACTGTGCTGATCAACACCACGACTGCTATCACCACTGCTGTTCCAATCAACACCACGACTGCTACCACCACTGCTGTGCCGATCAACACCACGACTGATATCACCACTGCTGTCCCAATCAACACCACGACTGCTTTCACCACTGCTGTCCCAATCAACACCACGACTGCTATCACTACAGCTACCCTAATCAACACCACGCCTGCTATCACTACAGCTACCCCAATCAACACCACGACTGCTATCACCACAGCTATCCCAATCACCACCACGACTGCTACCACCACAGCTGTCCCAATCATCACCACACTGAGCACAACATCAACAACAGCTGCGTACAACACAACCGCTCCCGTCGCAACCAACACGACCATTCTGGCGACAACCAATGGGTCCGCGAGCAGCACGACCGCTTTTGTCTTCCCTGCGACGACGACGTTGGCCACGCCAAGTGTGATAACCGCAGCAACAACAACAACAAACGGAATGGCAGCAACCGCCACCACCACCGCAGCAGCGATGCCGACCACCTCCAAAGCAACCGCTGTCTCCCAGCGGCCATCTTGTCCCGCTGTGAATGGTAAGGGCAGCCATTTTGTCGTGTTTTTGACAAGCGCACTTCATAATTTCTTTCTCTTCACTTCGAAACCCAACTTTTTGTTGCCGTGGCGACGATGAGCACGCGTACGTCATGGGCTTGAGTACGTGCACACGAGTCCATGACGTGTACGAGCGCGTCATGGGCTTGTCATCCGGTGACGTGTTTGGTCGTGGTGATATCAGTCTTAGTGTTGATTGGGACAGCAGTGGTGATAGCAGTGGTGGTGTTGATTGGGACAGCAGTGGTGATAGCAGTTTTAGAGATCAGTGGTTACAGCAGCCTTCTTGAAACCGTTGAGCGTGTTTTTCCAGCCGACCAAAAAATGAGAGCCCTTCACCCGGAGGTTTGCCTCACCGAACGAGAAACATCACAAAAGGTTGACTCTTGAGCGATCCGTTGTTGCTTTTGTTTGGTCCCTGGGTGAACATCGCCAACTGGGCGGAATAGGGAGACAAAGGCGGCCGAGGCTTTGTGCTGCCGACAAAGTTGGCAAATGGGACGCCGCCCCCGATGCAGTCTGTTGGTTCAAGTGGCTTGTTCGTAGTGGTCAGCACGGACACACACACACATACAGACACACACACGGACACACACACACTGACACACACTAGGACACACAAACACTGACACACACATACATACACAGACACACACACGGACACACACGGACACACACACGGACACACACACACTGACACACACATACATATGTGAAGGAGAGCCGACACAAGATTGCAGGGGTTTTGTCTTTTAATCCTTTTCTCCCCTCCACACCTGTCCCCAGCCGTCCCAATCTTGTTCCCGCCAAAGGCCCCTTCTTCCCGCCCGTTCTCCCTTTATATCTCCTCGATTACCCCTCCCACTAACCCTCCTATTGGTGGGAATCCTTCCCCTGACACCCCTAAATCACCCCCCCCCTTCCCGGAGAAAAAAAAAACGTCCTCGGTACTGCCTCCCCCATGGACCATTTAAGTCTCCCCATGCCTCCCCCCACTGACAGTGACGACAGCCCTTAGCCCCCCCCACAACCATACAATGCAATATAACACGACAAAATCAATTGCGCGGCCTGCCCGGGTCACCAGCCAGCGTCCCATAACAGCCCGGACATCCACAGGCAGCAGATGACCGTGGCGGCCCCCTCCTTCGAAGGCTCTCTCATCGCGGTCCCTGGTTCTTAGGCGCCGGTGTCGCCTTGCCTGGTGCCACTGTCTCTCCGGCCCCCGCGGCCCCCGGTCATGCCGCCGCTCCGTCAGGCCTCACATGGGGCACTGTAGGTGACAAGGGAACACAGGGCACCGAACCCCCTGCCGGTCGGCACGTGGTGGTCGGCGACCTTGGCCTGGGTAGGGATGATGATGATGATGTTGGCGGTGATGTTGGTGGAGATGATGGTGGAGAGGTGTATGGCTTAAGGTGGGTGGGGTGTACAAACCATCGTCGCTTACCCAGTTGGACTTGGATGCACTGCGGTTGGAGTGCTTTAATGACCTCGAGCGGCCCTTTCCAGGGTCGGTGCAGCTTTGGTGAGAGGCCAACTGGTACCTGAGGACAGTGTAGCCATGCCTGGTCCCCGACTTTAAAGGGCTTGGCTGTCACTGTCCTCTCCTGTATCCGTACATTACTCTCTTGGCTCATGGCCAATGCGGCCTCGGCTGCTTGGCGGGCCTCTCTCAAATTAATGAGGGAGGTCTTTAGTGCCTTCGGCCATGCGTCAGCTCTTGCGGGAATGTCCGTCAGCTGCACCTCAATAGGTGGAACAGGATCCCGTCCGTACATCAGGAAAAACGGCGAGAACCCCGTTGCCGCGTGCCGGGCCACACTGTACGCCGCTAAGACCGATGGAATGTGGAGGTCCCAGTCGGAGTGGTTTTCATCCACCACTTGGGACAGCATGGCCACTATGGTGCGGTTAAGCCGCTCTACCATTCCATCGGTCTGGGGATGATATGGAGATGTTCGGACCTTTTTAGTGCCCAGGATAGAGCAGACGTCCTTCAATAGCCGTGAGGAGAAATTTCTGCCCTGAATCGTGAGCAACCACTCCGGTGACCTCTTATCAAGGACATATCCTCCCATGAAGGCATTGGCGATGGTCTGTGCCGTTTGGTCCGGGAGGGCCCACGCCATCGGCCACCTCGTGCAGTACTCGACCCCGACCAACAGGTATTTATTTCCCCGTGGCGTGACCGGCAGTGGTCCCAGGATGTCCAACGCAACCAATTTGTTGACCCTGGTCACCGTGATGGGCTTTAGGGGCGCCCGGCTTACCCGGGGTGGCGGCTTCCGCCGCGCACATTCGACGCAGGTAGCGACCCATCGGTGCACGTCAGCGGTCATGCCTGGCCAAAAGTACCGGCCCTGTAATGTGTACAGTGTCTTTCGCCCCGCCAGGTGCAGCAGCACCTGGCGGCGACTCCGGAACAACCAGGCATCGCCGGCGCCCTGTCGGGTCCCATCGCATGAGGAGGTCCTCCCATACGATGTACTCCTCCCCCCCTGCCTCTGCTGAGGCACGTAGCGTTCGCAGTGGGGCTTCCTCCAGATGTAGACGTCTCCAATTGTCCAAGGTCAGCCCCAGGTCGTGGTCGGTCAGCTGGACCTCACCCTGTGCGCCCTCCGCCGTGCGTACGGGAGTGATGACCGTCCCCTCCGGCCTCGCCACATTGCAGCGTGCCCCGCCTGTGGTGCATGCACAAGGGCCCTGGGGTGCCAGTCAGGACAATGCGATCCACCACTTGGTACCTGTACTCCTGCAGGCGCTCTATTTACCTGGCCAGCTGGCCCGAAGGCTGGTCGATGCGGAGCCGAATACTGCAAGGCCGCGTGGTCAGTGCGGACTGTAAATTTGCGACCATACAGGTAGGGTTGGAATTGCAGCAAGAAGTGAACGACTGCCAGGAGTTCCCTACGTGTGACACAGTAGCACTGCTCCGCTGATGAAAGCACGCGACTACCGTAGGCGATAACCACCTCTCGACCCTGCTGGACTTGCAACAAGATACTGCCGATGCCCACATCACTGGCGTCCGTGTCCAGGATAAAGGGGAGGCCAAAATCCGGAAAGGCCAATGGTGGTGCATCTGTCAGACGCGAGCGCAGCTGCTGGAATGCCTCTTCCTCCAGGGGGCCCCAATAGAACCTCTGGTTCTTCGCCGTCAACACGTGCAAGGGCTTGGCAATGGTTGCGAAGTTGGGTACAAACCGGCGGTAGTAAGAAACGAAACCCACAAACCGGCATACCTCTGGAACCGTTGTGGGAACAGTCCAGGCCCTCACGCAGGCCGTCTTTTCCGGGTCTGTAGCTACTCCAGATTCACTGATGACGTGGCCCAAGTAGCATACCGACGACTGCATAAGGTGGCACTTCGACGGCTTGAGCTTCAAGTTCGCGTTCCAGAACCGCAGGAATACCTGACGTAATCGGTCAATGTGTTCCTCGAATGATCGGCTGAAGACAATGACGTCATCCAGGTAGATGAGGCACGTTTCCCATTGGAGGCCTGCTAAGGCCAACTCCATTATGCGTTGGAACGTCGCCGGCGCAGTCTGGATGCCCATAGGCAGGCAGTTGAACTCGAACAGGCCCTGTGGTGTCTGGAACGCTGTTTTAGGTAGGGGGTCCGCGTCTAGTGGGACCTGCCAGAAGCCGGACAATAAATCCAGCGTACTGAAAAATTTTGCTCCCGCCAGTGCATCCAATGAGTCGTCGATACGTGGTAGGGGATATGCGTCAGCCAGCGTGACGGCATTGAGGCGTCGGAAGTCCACACAGAATCTCAGTGACCCGTCTGACTTCTTGACTAGGACTACCGGTGCCCCCCAGGGACTCGAGGATGGAGAAATTATGTTAGCCCGCAGCATCTCCTGCACCGCTTGTTGAATGTGCCCTTTTTCCATTGGGCTCATTCTATATGTGTTTTGGCGCAGGGGTGCGGCGTTTCCCGTGTTGATGCGGTGCTGCGACAGATTTGTGCGCCCTAGGTCGAACGGTCCCCGGCTGAACACGTCCGAGAACTCATGCAATAACGAGTGCAGCTGATGTTTCTGGTTGGGCGGCAATCCCGGCTCAGGCCCCGCCAGCTGGTCCATGCACGATTCGGCCCCTCTGTTCTCGGACTGGCTGATGCTGCCTACAAGCTCAGGCTCCGTTCCGGGGGCTCCTAGTGACAAGGGACTAACGTGGGCCAGAACTGTTCCCTCCCGCACCGTCGCTGTTCTATCGGAGGTGTTCAGCACCTGAATGAACAGATGCTGGTTCCTCTGGTCAATAGTTTCGGCTCGCACCAGCGCATGGCGATCCGTGGCAGCTGACGCCGGAAACACCAGGATGGGTGAGTCCGGTCGGGCTGTCACGAGGGGGGACCGATATCGCAGCGGAATCAGCATCTGGGCTGCCGGGGGAATGACAGACTTACTGATCAGAGCCTGCACGTAGGGTACACCCCGGCCGGCCCCCTCCGCCTTTAGGAAATGGAGATGCGTTCCCTGGACTTCCACCCGCCCATTGGCCAGATCAATTTTCATTGGCATCCACCTCAGAAAGTCTGTCCCCAACAGGCAGGGTACAGGCAATGTTGCGGAGACAAGGATGGGTCCTGCTACCGAAAGCTGCCCAATCTGTGTCGGGGCTTCAACCTGACCCAGGAAGCCCATACTGCCTCCATTTGCTGCAATGAACGTTGTATTGACGGGGACTAAAGGTCGGTTTTTATCCGGCAGCATCTCGTGCATGGTGCTCGAGATGATCGTGGCTGATGCCCCCGTGTCAACCAAGATACGTGCCGACACTCCCGCAATTTCACCGACCAGGACCGAGGTTCCTGACGTGGCCGCTACCACCCACCTTGCCAGCTTCCTCCATTGTGTGGCTGAGTCTGGCCACTGACCAGGCGGCGTCTTGTTATCCTGCGGTGCATGGTGAGATGATGGGGGATGGATGTGAATGGACCGAAGATGGGGTTTCCCCCTTTGGAGTGCGTCGCAGCAGGGTGAATGCGCCCTTGTTATATAGTGTGGGCTTCCCCCTGGAGTGCGGGCTGGGCTCTCTATGTGGTGCAAATTGCCTCCCCTTGGTGACGTAGAACGGGCCCCCCTTGTGGTGTGGGGGGGGGGGGGGGGCCCATCGTAGTGGGCGGTTGGGATTGGGGGGTGGCCCTTCCCGTGAGCCCATCCCTTCTCCCCTCCCCTTCCTTTGTCACGGGGGCGTGGTCCCCCTGGTCCCGTCTCGCTCCGCTGCAAAGCGGTGGTAAGGCGGGGCGTGGAACTGTTCCAGGGCACAACAGCAGTTGTGTGTGCCGCCTCAGCCCAGGGGCCGTTGTCCCTGGCAACTCGCCGGCGTTGCAGGTAACTAGTGACGTCACTTCCGGTCGCGACGTCCCATCCAGCCCCGGCGCGGTCCCCGGCCCTGGCGCGATTTCTGGCGTGGTCCGCGACACCACTTCCGGCCGCGACGTCACTTCCGGACGCGACGTCACGTCCGTTCGCGACGCCACTTCCGGCCTCGGCGCGATCCTCGGCGTGGTCCCCGGCCCCAGCGCGATCCCCGGCGCGGTTCCCGGCCCCGGCGTGATCTCCTTCCCCCGACCAGGACAGTGGGGACCGGGGAACGACACCGACGGCGCCCACCCCGAGGAGACTCCCGGTGAGTTCGCGGCGTCGGGGGTGTAATTTCTCGGCCCGACCGAGAGGCCGGGCGGGACGGTGTCACTCGCCTGGATCCTGTCGGCGTTCGGCCCCGGCAGGTTCCAGGTGGCGTTGGCGGCCTCCGGCTCCGTGCGGCACCCCTCTCCACATGCCCCTCTCGACCACAACGGTGACAGACCCACGGGGCGTTCCGTCGGGGTGGCTCGGCGTGATGTTGTAGAAGCGGCTGCCAGCGACACGGCGGCTGGTCGCGCCCCTGGTCCCTCTGCTCCGCCAGTCCCCGGATCGCCGCGTACACCTCCCGCAACGTTGGCTCCGGCTCAGACGTCGGGGGTCCATTCCCAACTGCCCCACAGGCAGCCTGCGGCGATGGTGCAGGTTTGGCGGTTGGTGTCGCTGGTCCCGGTAGCGCCGCGGCAACGGCTCGACTGTTCCCCCCCGCCGCGCCAGCCACCTGGCCCACAGGTGGCACCCGGCCACCTCGCAGCCCACAGCGAGGTGCGTTCCCCCGGCGTCACCACGGGAATTACAACGCCAGCGCGGCAAGCGTAGGCAATGAGGTGCTCGACCACGAGGTCCTCGAGCGCTTCTTCAGCCAGGCGAGGGAAAGCCCTCCTCGCCAACACGAGCAGCGCACCCCTGTAGGCTAAAGGGGATTCTCTAGCCCCTCGCTGGCGGTCTTGGAACCGCTTAAAGGCTCCTTCCGCCGGGCAGTAGATCTCCCCCAAAGCCTCGTAGGCCGCCTGTAGCGTGGTCTTGCTGTGCGAGGGAAGGGAGGTGTAAGAGGAGATCGCCTCGTCGCCCAGAACGGATGGCAAAGCTCGTAGTGCCTCTTCGTCTGTCCACACGAGAGCATGGAAGGCAGCCTCGAATCGGCGGACAAACGCCTCTCAATCTTCTTCCTCGGCCACGAACTTGTCGACGGGCCCCAGCCGATGCGCCCGTCCTGCCACCTGCCTTACACATACATGGACACACACACAGACACACACACAGACACACACACGGACACACACACACTGATACAAATAGATACAGGGACACACACACACAGACACACACATACATACACAGACACACATACACACACACAATCGGACACACACGGACACACACATACATACTCGGACACACACACACGGACACACACAGACACACATTACTAGACGTCGGCAAAGTAAGGTAATTTACCATTTTTTCCAGGTATAAGGGTAAAGGTAAAGGGTAAAGGTGTCGACATGCCAAGGGGTAAGGTAAAGGGTAGGGTAAAGGTAGCTCGGAAGAATTACCCGGTAGGGTAAAGGAAGTGCGAAGTATTACCCGGTAAATATGGTTCCTTGTTTACTGCTAAAAGTATACCAAGGTTGCAGTCGATACCACATTGGGAAGTGGGTTAAAATTGAGTTACAAGATTTGAGGATACAACAACGACAACAACAACGACAACAACAGAGTGAGTTCGAAGAAAGTGTCTAAAATATGAATAAAGCGCTCTACCTAGCATTTACCGTTATAAACCTTTTTCATGTGTAGTACCCCAGTAATTACCCTGTAATCGGGTAATTTGTATGGGGTAAGGGTAAAAGGTAGGCTCGTTGCTTTTTACCTTTTACCTTACCTGATAAAGGGTGAAATGTAGGGTAGAGTGATTGTATTGTGGTAAGGTAAAAGGTAAGGTAAAGGTAGGCTTGTTTTTTTTACATTTTAACTTTTATCTTACCTTGCCGAGGTCTACACATCAAACACACACATCACACACAGACACACACACAGACAAAGATGAGCTTTATCTTTGTCTGTCTGTGTGTGATGTGTGTGTTTGATGTGTAGGCCTCGGCAAGGTAAGGTAACAGACACACACACTGACACACACAGACAGACATCACACACACAGACACACATCACACACACACACAGACACACACAGACACACATCACACGCCACTCGCCCTCCCACGTGACCACAACGCCACCAAACTGCCCGCGGTTCCAATCTCCCCGCCACCGACGCGCGCCACCGAATCTCAATTGGGGGCGAGTGGACCGCCCCGTTCCCCTCCAGCGCGACGTGGGAGGGAGGGGCCGAGATGGGGGGCGGGGCCGTGGGGGGAGTGGCCCAGATGGGGAGGGGCGCGGGTGGGTGGGCGTTGGGGGGAGGGCCAAGATTAGGGGGGCGTGGGGGGGAGGGGCGGGTGGGGGGCATGGGGGGGTGGCATGGTGGGGTAAAGTCATCATTTTGAAATGTACCTATTTTCAACGAGACAACGTGGTGTGCATTTGTGTCATTCCTTCACGTGAAGTCCTGGTCACAAAAGCAAAGTGTTGTGGGGAATAATAGCCACTCGCTCTACTTTTGAGGCATAAGCAATTGGAAAATAACACTTACTACCCAGGAACAGAAATCGTGTTACATAAAGTTATAATTACGTAACACGTGTTTGTTCTGGCGGTAGGTCGTGTTGCTACGGTTCTCTGCGGTGGGTTACGGCGTCTTTGTAACGACAACGATGGCAGTGGCGGTGCTGCTACTGTGACGACTGCTACTGCTACGCCTCTAATCTGAAATAAAATTAAAACCGAGCCCGTGTGCCAGAGGTCGCGATCGGGTACCCGATACCCATACCCTACCCGATACCCGTACTCTACCCGATACCCGGCCGGGTATGGGTAGCCGGGTATCGAGTAGGGTACGGGTACCCGTTTGCGACCCTGGTGCAGCCAGGTACGGGTACGGATAAGGAATCAAAACCCGTTTGCGACCTCTGCCGTGCGTACACACGAGTTACGGGATTCCGCGGTGAACGGGACGCTTGCCCATCCACCCCTGCGACTTGGAGGTGTCTCAGAAACAGGGAAGGGTGAATATTTCCTTCTTACTGGGCGCCACGCGGTGGCTAGGATATGTTGACTACCTCGCCTGGTACGCAGGAGGTCGTGGTTTTAATCCCGGACCCTAACGCCACGGTGGCTAGGAGATGTTGACTACCTCGCCTGGTACGCAGGAGGTCGTGGTTTTAATCCCGGACCCTAACACCACGGTGGCTAGGAGATATTCCCTACCTTGCCTGGTACGCAGGAGGTCGAGGGTTCGATCCCGACCATGACGCCTACTGCAGTATATTTGTAGTTTGCGTGTCTCTCTCTCTCTCCCCGTGGTCCTGTGCATTTTTCTCCGAGTGCTTCGGTTTTTCCCCTCCACGTTTTAGAATCAACATCGCCACGCGTTGAGAGCATTCGGCTGCCGCTGTAAATTTCCACGCAGTGATGTCGACCACTTGGTTGAGCTTTCATGTGCGATGAGCCAGGTCGCTTTTGAAAAGGATATACCTAGCTCAGTGGGGACCTTATGCATGGTTAGATAAAATCTGTCTGCCTGTCCGTCTGTCTCTCCGTCTGGTCTCCAGACACGACGTCGTTCACGACCGAGGCGAGCATGCAGATCGAGACAGATGCTCCCATCGGCGGGAACTGCTCGTTTGAATTCATCGTCAGCAAACAGAATGTCACCAGCAGCGTCACGGTGCTCAGCTGTGAGTATCATGGCTACGGCCTGCGCGTGTGTACAAGTGTGTGAGTGTGTGATCTGGCAAAACAACCTCCTACCTCACCATTGGTACCTCATTTGCCAGTCAAAAATATGATCATTGGTTTTTTACCCTTTTATCTGGCAACAAAACTGACACCTTTTTTTACGAGGAGTCATGTTTGCATAGACCACAATACCTGCAGTCATAATGCAATCAAAAAACACAACTCTGATAATGTATGCACTGTCCTTGAAGTTGATTGGACCACACCCGAGACAGCTTTCCTTAGAGCCCAAATGACGCCTTTTGGCGTCATCTGGTCCAACCCATGTGAGACTAGGCTCTAAGGAAAGCTGTCTCGGGTGTGGTCCAATCAACTTCAAGGACAGTGTATATGTAGTGGTGGGACGCGCTGGCAGGGATCGGGTGGCAGCGCGTGGTGATTGGCTGTGTGTCGGTGACACGCGCTGACGGTGAGGGATCATAGGGCAGCGCGGCGTCATGGGTTATGTGGTGGTGATTGGCTGTGTGTTGGTGACGCGCGCTGACAGGGAGTGGTCGTGTGGCAGCGCGGCGTGATTGGTAGTGTGGTGGTAACACAAGCTGGGGTGAAACGGATCGTACGGCAGCGCGTCGTGATTGGTCGACTAAGGTGGGTGCTCACATCGCGGTCCGCATAGTCTCCGTCTCCTCGGGAGCGGAGGGCTATATAAGGCGGTGCGCGCAGGCGCTCGGGGAGTTGGTGACCAGTGAAGACGGAAGACGGAGGAGGAAGAGATAGGGCCCTGAGACCCCTAGTCCCGCCAGTCCTTGTAAGGACCGGGACTCTGTGCGGCTCAGAGGCGGGACCTTGGGACCCGGGGCCGGACGTCCGTGTGAGGGCCGGACCACGGGATCCAGTGGTCGTGACCCATACCCAAGCTGGGGTGGGTCTGTAGGTTCCCCTGGAAGCTACGGGGCTGGAGAGCCCGTGTGTGTGTAGCCGGGTGGAACGGGGAAACAGTGAGCTGTAGTGACCACACGTGTTAGTGTGGCAGGAACAGTGAGCTGTAGTGACCACACGTGTTAGTGTGGCAGGAACAGTGAGCTGTAGTGACCACACGTGTTATTGTGGAAGAACAAGTTATAATAAAGTGTGCTACCCGTCAAGTGGTCTTCCGCCGTAGTTTATTATACTACAACTGGCGTCAGGAGTGAAACAGTCTTCCTTCCATAGATACCAGGAAGACTCATCGGACTCACGAGTGTGACCTTGAGGAAAACCACGACGACTCGGGCCAGCAGGCGTCAGGGGGACAAGAGGAGGAGATGCCGGCGCCACAGGACCCCTCATGGGCACCCAACGAGCGGCTGGGGGCTGATGCCGGACTCCGCGACGCGCACGCCCGCCTGGCGGAGCTACTACTCGCCGCGGCATCCATCCTGCGGAGATCACCACGTCTGGAGGAGCGAGAACGTCGGCGGACGTTGAAAGGGCTCGCGTTGCTGATTCCCGCCAAAATAACTTTGGAATTCCCGCCATTTCTGCTGAGCGGCCATCTTTTGGCGGGAACGGCGAGCAACACCTGGTGGGAGTTCTCCAATCCCTGCCGCTTACATCATCAGCGCGCGCTACGGGCCGCCATCAGCCACTCGCCATTGGGGCCGCCATTTTGCAGGTCGCCGGTGCGGCGGGGGAGAGTCACGAGGCAGGGGACGACATCATTTTCTAACAGCGTCTTCCAGCGTTGACAGCCTTCAAGGCAGAAGGCGGGGACTTGGGCGCGTTCCAGCGAAGATTTCTAGCCCATCAAGAGATGTCGGCCTGGTCCGACGCTACGGCGCTGGGGGCACTGCCTGCCATGTTGGACGACGACGCGCTCGCGGCCTTCAGGTCCGCACCGAGGTCGGCCCGCTCCACGCTCAAGGCTGCGCTGGGCCTCATGGCCAAGGTGTACGGCCCACCTTCGGTCTGCTGCCACCAATTTTACGAACGACGGAAGGCGGACACGGAGACAGCGCTCGCCTACCGCACGGCGTTGTTGGCCCTCGCGGACGCCGCGTTCCCTCGTATGGACGAGGAGGGGCAGGACGCTATGGTTTTGGAACAACTGCTGAAGTTGGCGCACGACCTGGGGGTCCCCATCAACACAGCCGACGAAGTCGACATATGTTCGTTGCGTGTTGCAACAAGTATCCAGGCGCACGAGATCCTCAAGCAGAAACAGGTGGTCGTCTGCACTGCAGCTGCGGTCTCAGCTCCGGCCACGGTGGTCACCGAGCCACCAGTCGTTCACCCACGGGAGGAGGCGTTCGCTGCAGCACGATCGGGGGATTGGAGGTCGGGGGCTCGTTCGCCTCTGCGATCGGCCCGCAAGCTGGAGCAACCGAGACCTCCGACGTCCGTCATCACGTGCTACAACTGCGGCCTTCGGGACCACGTGGCGTCCGGGTGCCGCGCTCCACGTCAGCGTGCCACGGGACCTCGGCTGGACGACGACCAAGGCCCCAAGTCGTCCCAACTACCCCCGGCAAGTCGCGGCACTTCACATGCTCAGCCCACATACACGACACACATGGGCCGTCGCTTTGCGGCGGAGGATGTGCGATTGGGGGTCGGGGATTCGGTTCAGAGAGGGGGTTCGTACGGGACCGGGGGGACGTTAAATGGTCCGAGTTGGGCCACAGAATAGCGGCTGCGTCGGCTGGTTCCTCGGTCGTTACGGGATTCATAGACGGGGTCGAGGTTCCTTGTCTGTTGGGCACAGATTTTTTGGCTAAGATGCCCATTAAAATTCTCGTGGATCAACGTTGTATTGAGCTGCCATCGGGTCGCCGTATTTCATTTTTATCGAACCCTACTGAAATACGGACGGCGTGCGTGACGATCCAAGCGATAGCAACACGGACGGTGCACGTGCCCCCGGGTTCGCAGATGTTGATACCACTCCAGTTGCGGAAGCCATTGGGTGGTGAGACTGCGGGACAAGGCGTGCTTTTGGGTCCATCGAATAGAGCTGTCGGGGGTCTGGATTTGGCGGTGGCTCAAACGTTGGTTCGGGCTGACGAGGACCCGTTCGTTATGGTGTTAAACGCTGGGTCGCGGCCGGCCGTTATTCCGCAGGGCACCGTGCTTGCTCACGCGGCACGGGTCCCTGCGGAAGAGCGCCTTATTGCGCATGTTGATCCCGTCCCGGCGCAGGAAGTTATATCGGGTGATGACCTTGGCTGGGTCGATTTGCTATGTGCGGACTCCAGTGATTTGTCAAGGGTGCAATTGGGTGCGCTGCGCGCTCTGCTGATCGAATTCTCCGATGTGTTCAGCAAGCACAAATATGATATTGGGTGCACGGACCTGTTACGCCACCACATTGAAACAGGCGATGCGGCACCAGTCCGGCAGAATCCCTTCCGGCTGAGTCCTGCCGAGAAGGAACACGTTCAATCGGCCGTCAATGACATGCTGACGGCCGACATCATTTCGCCCTCATCCAGTCCGTGGGGAGCACCTATCGTTCTGGTTAAAAAGCAAGACGGCTCCTTGCGTTTTTGTGTAGATTTCCGTCGCCTGAATAAAATCTCCGTGGCTGACGCATATCCGCTCCCCAGAATGGATGAGTCCCTGTACGCATTGTCCGGGGCGCGGTATTTTTCTACACTTGACTTAATGTCGGGATTCTGGCAGCTGCCACTCAACGATGAGTCTAAACCTAAGACAGCATTCCGGACCCCAGGGGGCCTGTTCCAGTTTAATCGGTTGCCCATGGGACTCCACTCCGCTCCCGCGACGTTTCAGCGCCTTATGGAATTGGTTTTGTCGGGTCTGCAATGGGATACTTGCTTAATTTACCTTGACGATGTCATTGTTTTCAGTAAAACTTTTGAGGAACACCTCCAGCGATAAAGAGGGGTGTTCTTGCGAATGCGATCGGCTAAGCTGAAGTTCAAACCGGCGAAATGCCACCTTCTGCGGAAATCCGTAAGGTACTTGGGCCACATTGTCGATTCTTCAGGGATCTCTACTGATCCCGCGAAGACGAACTGTGTCAGTTCATGGCCAACGCCCACGTCGGTTTCTGAAGTCCGCAGCTTCATTGGTTTTGCGTCCTACTACCGCCGATTCATTGAGCATTTCGCCACCATTGCCAAACCCTTGCACGCTCTAACAGCCAAAGGAGTCAGGTTTCGATGGGGGCCAGAGGAGGAGGCCTCATTCTGCTCCCTCCGGGACGCCTTGGTGGGTGCCCCGCCCTTGCGATACCCTGACTTTACGAGTCCCTTCTTGCTGGATACTGATGCTAGTAACACGGGCATTGGGGGGGGGTGCTCTCACAGGTCGTTGGGGGAGTTGAACGGGTGGTCGCCTATGGTAGCAGGGTTTTGTCGCCTGCGGAACAGCGCTACTGCGTCACCCGTCGCGAGTTGCTGGCTATTGTTTTTTTTTGTACAGCAATTTAGGCCTCATCTCTATACGGTCCGGACGGACCACACGGCGCTTCAGTATTCATTGAGGGTCGCCCAACCCTTGGGCCAGTTGTCACGGTGGTTGGAAGTCCTCCAGGACTATCAATTTACGACCACTTATCGTAAGGGGTTGCGCCACACCAACGCAGATGGCCTGTCGCGGTTGCCGCCTCGTCCCGAATGTGCGTGCTTGACGGGGTCGGCGCGCTGTAAACCGCCAGGTGCTGTACCTGAGAGTGAGTTGGTCGCGGCCGTGAATGCGCCAATGGTTGACGTCCCCGCTACCCCTGCGGGCTGGGACTCGCTACTCTCACTGTCTCTCGTTGAGTGGGGCCGACTCCAGATGGCTGACAGCTCCCTGCTCGCGTTGCATCGCAGGGCGGGGATCCCGAGGAGGGTCGAGAGCGAGCTGGCTCCTGGCTGCTCAAGCAGGGCCTGCTAATGAGATGGGACAATATGTCCCGGCGGCACGCACTCACCGTGCCTTCCGCTATGCGGGGCAAAGTTGTTCTGGCCACACACGAACGCCTCTTGCATCTGGTGGTAAACAAAACGCTTGC